ACACGTCTTATTTCAGATGAAACGTGAGCCGTCACCAAAACCGATTGAGACACCATCCGTGCCCCCGTTGAATCTTCAGGCGATGATGCAACAAATGCAACACGCGAATCCTTTTCAGTTCATGGATCCAGCAGGAATGATTTCAGGTTAGTTCCTCAGATACCTGATTTAGTCAACCACTAATAATCAGCAGCGCTGTTAGCCCTGGTTGTCTTACTTGGCTTGAGCTCAACTTAAACATAACTTGAACTCAAGAAAATAGCTACTGTAGTAAATACAAGGTTAAACAGTAATGTTGGGAGCCGGCTACTGTAGTAAATACAAGATTAAATAGTAATGTTGGGAGCTGTCTTCAATTAGGTTTCTGCTCTGATAAAGATCTCAGATCTGAAACTAACTGAAAGGTCCAAACGTCAAAATCACCGCGAAACTACGCGGCTGCGAACTCTAGAATTAAAGCTATACGAGGGCATGGTCATGTGGGTGGAGTCAACCGGACAGTTTCGCTCCCCTGATTGGTGCGTTATTTCTCGCACTTGTTCAAGTGGCTCCGCCCACACGAGTTGCGTAGAATTTGCTTTGATCGAGACACAAAGAGAAAGCTCGAGCGATTTTCATCCTCCACAAGGTTGCGATATAGTTGTCGATCAGGGCTTAATGTATTCAGGACCAATAACCCAACTGTCGCAGTCAAGTACCTCAGGTCGTCGAGCGAATCGAACCCGTTTCACCGACTATCAACTCCGGACTTTGCAGCAGTTTTTCGACAAGCAGGTAAAGAATACTCGCTCCTATGTTCTGAAATTGATGAAGCTGGAGTTTCACCGAAGAATTTTTCCTAATATGTTCAAGTTCGATTTTTTCAGGCCTACCCAAAGGACGATGATCTGGAGGTGTTAAGCAAGAAACTGCAGCTGAGTCCGCGAGTGATAGTGGTGTGGTTTCAGAATGCTCGACAAAAAGTGAGTGCTCAGATCAAGGTTCTGAAATATAAAATATTATATTTCGTAAAGTAGTAAAGTATACTATTCAGCGACAATTTCGCAAGGTCTTTTATTCCTAGCACTGCAATTAAAATGGAAATAAAAAAGACCTGTTTACTCTTTTGTCACGGCGAAATACTGGCGGAATATCGGCTTACTTTCCATCCCTTCCTCTGGACGTTTCTTCTGGAAGTATAGGCGGTTCTTGATCCTCATTTATGCGGAAAGTTAAAAAGAGATGGTACACGCTCGGCAAATGGGCGGGACGTGCAATCAGATTTTGTACTGATTGGCAATCATACGTATTTCATCTCTAGCGCAACGGCCGTTTGAATCCAAGGCCACATCCTTCGCCGATATGAGCCTGCGCCTTCGA